GAGGCTGTTCAGCCTGGAGAGGAGTTCAGGGAAATCTTACAGCACATTCCAGTACCTAACGGGGCTACAAGAAAGATGAAGGGGGTCTTTCTACAATAACATGTAATGACAGGACAAGGGTCGGTGGCTTCACAATAAGAGGGCAGGTATAGATTAGATATTGAGAGGAAATTCTTCACTATGAGAGTAGTGAGGCATTGGTACATGTTGCTCAGAGAAATTGTGGATGCCCCATCCAGGAAGTGGTCAGATCCAGGTTGGATGGGGCCCTGAGCAATGTGGTCTAGTGGGAGGTGTCCCTGCTCACAGCAGGGAGTTTGGAACTGGATTATCCTTAGGGGTCCCTTCCAACCCAAACAGTTCTATGGTTCTGTGATTCAAGTGCAAATGCTTATTGTTGGATTTATTTTTTTTTTAGGTTTGTTTTTATTTTTTGGCTTTTTGGAGAAAAATGTTTGCGTGTATTGCAGAAGATACCTGGTTTGGCTTCTTGAAACATTTTACATGGAAGCTGAAGTTACCTAGATGTAGACCAAGAAGCATTCCTGAACAGTGTTAAAATAATCTGGTTTATCTTTCCTTTAAAGATGGGCACCATTATTTTGTGTTCTTTGATTGCTTTTTTGTGTAACTTAGAAGGAGCACCTGATATTCTGCATTTGATGAGCCATTACAACCAAAGTGTGTAATAAATAATAACCATAACTTGGAGTAGACATGCAGTTGGTGATGAGGAAATCATGGAGCTGCCTTCTTTTACGTTTTCTTTCAGATCTATACTGTTGTTCCTGATGAATGAGTGGTGTTGCCACTGTTTTTGGCTGTCTATTAAACTAATTTAGCCTAAGTCTGTGTTGGAGCATCTACACCTTAGAAATTTTCACCACTGATTGATTGCTTTGCTGACAGTCTTAGTGAAGAGACCAAGGATTGATTAGGTGTGGAGATTGACTCACCTGCTTAGCTCTTCAGTTAGAGTTCTGACAAGGAGCGTATAATCGCAAAATTTATCTTGGTATCTTCATCCAGCCTTCTCTGCTTTTAAGTTTGTTGTGATTGCCTTTTGTGGAAGTTTTCTTGCCTTTCAGGTTAAAAAGCTTTCTAGATAGGTCTTTTAGAGCTCTAGCCATCCTCTGTCTCTGAAGATATCTATAACACTCTTTTGCTCTTTTGCCTTTCTTTAAATTTCTTTGTTTCTCTTTTATGTTCTGTATTTGTTTATTTGCTACTTCGCTCGTCTAAGAATCTGAATGGGGGCTTCTGTGGTGTGCTGAAATCCATTCTTACTTAGCTGGTAGCTTGGCTACAGCTCTAAGACCTCTCAAAATGTTGCTTTTGTAGGTTTTCATTTTCTTTTCTCTTCCTTACCTCACACGGTCCTTTTACCACCCACACTGGTGTGTTGACTTGTTTCTTTTCTGGGATAGCAGAGTATCTCAAAATACACGGTGTAATTCTTCAGCAATTTCATGATACTCTCAATATTATCTGGCATGGCATAGGTTCAATTTAAATCTATAAGGATATGAGGGCAAATAGGTAGTTTCCTATTTTATGCCTAAAATACCTTTGCTATGATACCATAATAAAACTAGTGTAGCAGTTGGTATTTGTCTCTAATTGTCCTAATCTTTGACACTGGTAGGAAATACATGTTTCTTGTTCTGAGAGTGGGGATAAATTGAGCATTTAGACTTCTCACTGCCCGAAGTGAAATGACTTATTTTTTTTCACATCACAAAGTCCTGAGGAAACGGGTTATATTGGTCATTTAAAATTTGGTCTCATCTCTGTGCAATTTTAACAATTAAATTAGATGCATGGGAATGAGAGTACTCAATTCTGAGTACATAGTCTGGTAATTTGGGAAACCGTTGGAAAAATGAAGCAATATAATTGTTATGCTGTTTGAATAAAACAATATAAAATCTTTGTTTCCATTCAGTCAATATTGTTACTAAGGAACCACTAATTACTGTGTATCATGTTGGTAAGGGCTCTGACAAATCCATGCAAATGATATGATTTATAATTCATAAATCCCTGATCCCCTGAGTGATGTTGCTCTTGCACTTAGACTAATTGAGTACTTAGGTTCATCGATCCAGTCCATATAGCACCTTTAGTCTGTATGGCAGCCTTTACTGCAGAGCCTAACTAACAGCAACTCTTGTTGTCAAATGTCCCCTGTAGACACTGTAGTATCCCCAAAATCTGCCTCCTTGGCCCTTTGCTTTAAACTCCTTCAGTCTGCCAGCAGTCAGTTCTGCCCAAATCACAGCAGTATTTCTGTCTGTCTCTGCCTGGTTGCAGAGGTACAAAGCATGGTACAGCATTGCCTTTTTAGGGATGGGACTTCAGTGGTTAATTGCACTTACTAATAAGGCAGTGCTGGAGTAGCTGTGTGATGTAGTGGTTTATATTGGTTCTAATAGAAACTGGTTTATATTGGTTCAAAAATGCATTTTTTTCTAGTAGCTGCTCTCAAAAATGGCTCATTTGTAGCAATTAGTCAGCACTGGTGTTTATTTTTGGCTTTGCAGAGTTTTGTTGGATGTTTTTCTATGTGCAAAGAGTAGATAATTATTATTTTTTTCCCTTCATAAGGCAGTGGTTGCCAATACTTACAAATACGAAAATACAGTTTAATATTGGTTATGTAGTTGTGTGTGAACACCAACACTGAAGGAGATAGGATCCTATGCAAATTTCGTATGCAGAACTGAAAATAAAAGCAAGGGACCAAAGATATATTATGTTTCAGGACAATACTTCATGTCTGATCATCGTTACCTATTTTCTTAATAATTTTAGCACAGTTTTGTAATGTGCTATAATTGTATTTGTTATCCAGAAGAATGGCATCACTTAATTCTCTCAAAATGTGGCGAGGTAGATGGATGACAAATTAATAATTTACTATCTTTGCATAATACTGCAGAACACCAGAACACCAGAAGGATTGATGGCAGAAGAGGTTAACAAATTTTAGCAGCTTCCATTAGCTTTTCATTGTCATATGTTTGTGGTGCCGACTGAAATAAGCTTTGTAGGAGATCCCAGTCCAGGGAACTAATTACTTGTGCCGATTGCCACCCTGATGAATAGACCCTCATTGTATCATTCCCCTGAAGACGAGGAGCAGGCTGTGATTCACGACTGCATCCTGGCTGATATTTGATAATAATTTTAACAGATAAATGTAGGAAGGCAGAATGATGAAGTGCTTATCCATGCTGTACGACTATCAAAGGCATGCACATAGCCAGCTGTGTTCTGCCTTTTTTTCTATAATCACTAATGGGGAATTTTAAGTTATTAATCGACCTTTGAATAAACGCATATCTTACTGTATTTTGTAGTTTTTCTTTGGTTAATTCTTCCAAAAACATTGAGTCTTATAATCAGAGCAACCCAATTTTAGCATGATTGTAATACAGACATGTGTGAAAATAAGATACTGGGGAATTTGATTCCAATACTTTAATATTTTTCTGAAATTAAGCAATTAGGAAGATGAAGACTAACACTGCCTTTTCTTTGGTGTTAGAAATAGGCATAGAATTTTAATGAAGAATGCAAAGACAGTCTCCATTTTGATAAAATTATTTTCAGTAGGAGTTTTTAATATCTATAAATCATGTTTGAGAGTAGTGTTATGCAAATCATACTGGCTTTTGTTACTACATTCGTTTGAAACCTTGATTTACCTTAACTAAAGCTAATCTCTGCCTTTAAACATCAGAACTATGAAGTGTTCTTAATGTTGTGATCTGCAAATTAGTTATGCCTATTCATTTGTCAGTGTTGACAGGTATACTTTCTATTAGCTCCTGGATCAGAAATGGATTATATATCTGCATTTTCATCTATTGTTTTAATACAACCGTATTAATTATTCTGTAAAGAAACAAAGTCCAGGTTTTTTAATCTGGATGTACACGTTTTTGGGGTATCATGGCTATTCTGTGCCTCAGGTATTTTCTGTTTGTTTTTATTCCATACATGAAATTGGTCTTTTGTACCTTCTCTGGCCTAAAATACTGTTTTACAGTGGTATTCACTCATGATCATCTAAACAGATAGTAACTGGCACTTATATATGACTGTATTAAAAAGATCTATGTGTATTTGGAGTGTAAAATGGAAAATAATGAATTTGATATAACCTTTTCTAGATGTAATTTTTTAAAGTATGCTATGTAGCCATTATTACGCATCATAACATGTAGTTTTTAGTTAAATGTAAAAACACAACTACATAAACCAGAAATGCAATCTGATTTGCTCAAAAATAGATTGCTGTTTCACTCTCCTGGAATGGTTTATTTAAAAACAGTAAATGGAAAAGAAATGCATTTCCTCGTGTTGTTCTAAGCCTCAGGGGCTAAATGTAATGAATATTTTAAGAGATTATTTTAATTAAATTCCTGCACATCTAAACAGAGTAATATTTTATTATCACATACATAACCATGTAACTGAGGTATTCATTAAAGTTAACACTTTCTGGACCAAGAATTCATGGCATGATTTACTGACCTTGTGCAAAAAGGCACAAATTAGGAAGAAAAATGAAGGGGGACAGACTTTGATTAATATAGGTAATGCTATACCATATTTATAATAGCCTTTTCCCTATTCTGGTTTATAAATGCAGTCACTGAGAAAGGTGCCCTGCTGAGGCTGAAATGAGGCTGAAATCGGAGCACATGCCACTAGAGTGTGGGGAAACTGATCACACTGTCAGCAATTCATTTCAAAATGATGTATTTAGTGCTCATTTCACCTTCCAAGAAAAAAGGGAAAGGAGTTCCTTAGACTGGAAGGTGATATTGTTATTTTCAAGGACATACCTAAGTAAAAGATTGCAGAAAGGGGGGGAGGTTAGGAAAAAAAAGGTGAAAGCAGCGCAAACAAGGAGAGCTTTATGCAGAAATTCAGCGCTACCATGCTGGTTGATAATTGCTAACATATGTGGCTCCTCTGTTTCATTGTAGTCGTCCTCATGAGTTCTGGCGCCTCGACTACTGGGAAGATGACTTGCGGCGCCGGCGACGATTTGTGCGTAACCCCCTCGGATCGACACATCCTGAAGCGACACTCAGGGCAGCCGGAGAACATGGTCAGTGTAAAATCTTCCTCCTGCCACCAGCAGCAGGTTACAGGATGTGGTGGGAAAGGCTGGATGTTCTTCCTTGTAGGATGCTAGCAAATGGTCCCAAAGCAAAGGCTCTTGGCTTTGCATTTCAGGCGTGTTTTCCGTACAGAGATAACCTGGCCGTTCCCTCACAGCAGCAGCAGCGCTGGTGTTTGCTCAGCCCCTTCTTTCCATCTCAGCTGAGCTGGCACGTTGTGCATACCTTGCATACAACAATTACAGCACAGCCCCAACCAGACAGAAGAAAAGTGGATGCAATTTTGCCATTAATCCAGGGACAGACTTCCGTCTAAATTATCTGTTTATACTTTAGTAACTGCAGAAGAATTTTTCTGGTTCAAAATCCACACCAGTTATTTCAGTTAGCACGTATCTGCCTATTCTAACAGGTATTTAAAAGAGAAATAACGCTTCTGTAAGCTAAACTGTACCTTTGCTGAAGTCCTCAAGTCTTTCTGCAAAAATTTGATATGGAATAAAGAGTAGCAAATGCTGATGTGCAAAGTATTGCTCAAGCAGCAGAATGGTAATGATCATTTCTACCTGGTGATTTTAAAAAAAGGAGATTGTGGTTTTTTACAGTTATTATTTCTTATTTCATAACCTGGGATTAGTCAGGTATAAGTTGCTGTGTCCATTCTAGAGGGGAATGTATTTACGAAATGAATACAATAGTCAGTTTGAGAATTCTATAGTAAATCAAAATATAAACAAGCAAACAAAACCACACCCAAAGCCAATGAACTTTGGGGTTTAGAACAGAATTTTGTGTCTTTGCTATCTACTGAGGGTACACTAATAAGGTAGAAAAGTCTTGTACTTAAAAATAATTTGCTTATAATTAAAGCTGAGTACCCTTCAACCTTGAAGGCACAAGTCACATAGCAAATAATTTAAATTTGGAGGCTTTTTGTTGTGTTTTTTTTGTTTGTTTGTTTTGTTTCTGTTTTTTAGCTTGTGAATTACTGCATACATACATGCATGCATATGACCACACAAATTGTGTGTGGGGATAGATTTTATGCTGGTTTGAGATTGTTAAGAGCATTGTATGAATGTAGAAGAACATCACTGTCATAAAGTTGGTTTCTGTCAGGCATCTTAACCTCTTGCACTCAGCCTTAAAGAGCCATTTCTGGGAGAAAATGTCTACAATATGTCAGCTGATATAATGCCAAATGTGACATCAGTTCTCCGAAATAAATGACCATACAGAGAATAGTCAATAAAGTGATCTGAAAGCAATGTTTGTAGAGCCCTACATCTTTGACTATAGAAAGAAGAGCAAGATGTAGAATTAATTAACCCACTTTTTGCTTTGGGGTTGTTGTTCTTAATACTATGCGTTGTTCTCATAACATGGACTTTAGAGCACTAAGGTCTTTTCTGTTTAATTCTCCATGGATGAGCAACAACTTCCCTCCTCCCACCCCCCTTTAATATTATGTGTATTTTAAGTTAAATAGATCTTATCACAGCTTGATGTATTCTAGTTGTATTTTCATCTTTAATTTTTATGCTGTTTATCAAAATTTTAAAAATAGCTTTATTCTTACTGAAAAATATTTAATGCAACCATTTAAATTTGTGTAACTAATTCTTCCACAAGTACAGACACAGTAATGCAATTATTCGTATTTCATACTAATTGATATTTTTACTAATCCATGCTGTATTTCAAGGGCTGTGGCTTATAATCAGTTTGTAATTGACAGGAGAACAATTTCTGTCAATATAAAGGAAGAATGAATAAAGTAGCCCTATTTCAGAAGTAGCTAATAAGTACAGCTGGTAACTAACTCTGGTCATTTAAATAGACCTAATTGTTTTCTGTCTGCCTTTCTATTCAGATTTTGACATCCTTAACAGTCTTCTATTTTGTTTAATTTCCTGATATTGTTTTATTCTGAATTTTCATACTGCCTTTGTTATCTGCTGTCCTTCTGTTTCTTTATCCAGTGACTATTTTGGTTTACCCAAAGTCATTATTTAATGTGATTTCTGAAATTATAGTTATCTGCCTGAGCGTGTGTACACATGCAACTGTCTTTTTCCAAGAACTTCCACTGGCAAGGTGTAAAACAAATGACCAAAGTACAAATTCAAGTTCAACTGGAAACTATATAGAATGTATAGGAGTGCAAAGAAGTTGGGATTTTTATTGTTTCATTTTGGATTTGGCTTTTTTGTTTTTTGTGTTGTTTTTAGTTTGTTTTGAGTATTTTTTTCCCTGAGTTTTAGAAGGTACAGTTGTCAAAAAGATCAACTGGAGTGGCCACTTGATCCATTTCTTTCTGAATTGTGTTTGTGAACTTCTAATATTAACAGATTTCATCTCAGAAATTCCAGTTGTTCTCAGATTTCTTGGAACCAGACTTGCATGATGTAGATATCCCTAGGATTTACAGAGTATTTGCCCCAGTATGTTATGATTTCTTATCAATAATTTATCATTAATTATTCCATTTCAATTAATTTTACATGCCTCTGAAGCAAAAACATTTTTAGGTAATGTATAAAAGGTTCCCTACTGCCTGTTTAAGTTTTTTCAAAACATCACAGACCAAAATCTGAAATTGGACATAAGGGATTTTGCTAAAAGGGAGGCAGGGGAAAATAACGCATAAATAATGGAACAGTGCAAGCAGTAACCACGCTTGATAACATGGATTTTAGCTCACTTTCATTAAAAGATACACGTTATCAACTGCTTGGTGTCTTTCAAATACAACAGATGTATTCTCCACCCCAGAGAACTCACAGTTTAGGAATCATCCCAATTTGCAGCTGTGAAAATGAATCAGAAACAATTGGAAGCCTAGATATTGTTCAGTAAAACCTTGAGAGAACAACAACAATCAGCTCTGTTGCAGCCCAGTTATGTGTCTTAGGAGCAAGAACCAATCTTTTCCAAGGATTGATTTGATTTGAAGGAGAACCTCTGGTGCAGAGGTGGCAGAATAAATACCTGAAGACTAATGTTCTCTGTTCAGACAATCAATACCAGCCCCATGACTATACTTCTGGCTACCTTCTAGTTAAAAACAAATTTTTTAATTCTGACAATTTAATTGCCATTCCCAAGTTCACATTAACTTGCTTGGGAAAAAAAGGCTTTAGGTAATTTTTCAATGGGAAAAGGGAAAAAAAAAGGATCCTTCCAAACTGGCTATTTATAAAAGTCAGTCTAATGGTGTGTTGTGGGGAAAGGGAAGAGAGGTGAAGGTGCTGTGGTAGAAAATTTGGGATATAAGGAGTTAACTCTTTTCTATTCTTCCTGTCACCTACTGTATAGAAATGGAACCAAAATTGCTTGTATACATGTGGAGGAAAAAAAAGAAGAGAAAACCTATTGGTATTTTAAAATTGACCTCAAAATGCAGTATTTGTGAGGGAATCTTTAGCTTCTAGAAATATTTTATCAAGCTTTTTAACAAGTGATTTATTGGGGTTTCTAATTGATGTTTGTTAAAAATTTTAGGATGGGGGATTAAAACAGTCGGTAACATTTCCATCAAGGCAATAGATGGAGTTCAGGACTTTGTGGCTGCAAGGGACCAGCAGGTGATCATCTCCAGTACTGCAGTCGACTGGGTAGTTTGCTTTGCCTCAGCTAGAAGGATGAAAAAGAAGTCTTAAGGATAATATTTTAAAAATCTGGTTTGAAAGTGATTGTTTTTTCCACTGTTATGTTTTTAAAGAAATAAGGAGAGTAGGGGGAAGCTTTTGGGAGCCCTTTGTAAAAAAAAAAATAAATACATAGTAAGGTTGTTTTTTTTTAATGCACCTTTTCCTTGAGTTGCTTTTCCTGGTATAATTACCAGTTTGGTTTTTTTTTTTTTTTAAAAAAGAAAAAAAAAAAAGAAAATTAAATTGTGTGCTAGTAGACTGTTGTGTTCAGAGCAATACATAGGCCATGCCTGGAGATCTTGATCTTGGAAAGGTATGTGGGAGTTTGTGCTTAGAGCTGCCAGGTTGGAGCCAGAGGATCTGGTCACACCAACATAAGCAGGCCTGGTAGAGTGTTTAGAGAAGATAGAGCAGGGTTTGTGACCTGAAGTATGAAATCCAGTGTAACTGAACTCTGTGTTTATGTGGGATTGGAGTTTGTTGTGTGATGTCATGCTCTATCATACATCTCTCTAACCACTAAATATATAAAGAGAACTAGACCATGGCCTCCCTACAACAGTGCATTTATCTACAGAAGAATAGGTGCATCCATGTGGAATATATTCTGTTCTGTGCACATACAAATGTAAGCATGAAAGTGCTGGTTGCAGATGTAGTGCTTTATGCATGTCAGTACAGGAAAGGCAGATTTGCTTTATTTACATCAGTACAGAAAAAGCACATTCTGTTTCAGAGTATGGTGTCTCATTGCCTTCCAGACAGGCATCTTCCAGTGCCCATGTTTATGCTGTATTTAACTTTAACATGTGTTTCATACATGTCAGGAAATATTGGTAGCTAACATCATATGCGAAGAGATGACAAAAGTTTGCAGAAATGGACTAAAATAATTCAGGGTCCAAAATCTTCTATTGAAAAAAGGCACATACATAAGATGTACGGTTTTGAATCAGCAGAATATCAATAGTTGGGGAAAGAATTAAAACCTGAGTAAGTGAAACAGGGCAATATTTCTGTTTTCCAGTCATCTTTAGTTTGGAAGCTGCTGTACTGATTTTTTTTTTCTTTTTGTTTCTTAAAGACTGAAGGACATAGTAACATTTTAGATAAGTTGTATTAAGTATAAAAGTATTAACCTTTGATCTTGGCTCTCAATTCAGTCTTAAATAAGAATAGGTAGAGAGCTAGTTTGAAATTAGCATCTTCAGTATAACACAGATTCTAGTAGAGGAAGCAAAAAAAAATTGGCAGGTATGTACAGTGCAGATGAGGTTTTTGAAACAACAAATATAGTTTGCCTGCATTAATATAAAAAAAAAGACCAAAAAGAAAGAAAAAAAAAAGAAAAAGAAAGGAAAAAAAAGATAATAATTTATTATCTTGGACTTCATCTTGAGGTGGTTTTGTTCTATTTTACTTTTTTTGATCTTCAAGAGAGTGCTTGTAGGGCAATGACTAGGAGTGCATGTGGTGTGTGTTAGTACACTGATGGTAATTTTACTGCTGCTAACTGAAAATCCTCAAGGGGGAGTTAATTACAGGAAAACCTTCCTAAATATCAGCCGCATATTTTCCTTGACAAGAAGGTTTTTCAACTCACGTTGAACATCTCCACAATCTGAGTTATCATTATTTACATGAGAATATTTTGCAAGAAAGGAAAATTTGTGTTTGTACAATGCAGTTAAAGCGTTGCGGTAATTTTTTTTAAGGCTTTCTTACACGCAACAGCTGTTGCTAGGGCAAAGGGTTCATGTATAAATTGCATTTTATTTTGTATGGTGAGTTACATTTCCTTTTATTTCGGTTTTTGGTTGGTTGGTTTGAGGTGGAACTTTGTGTTTGCTTTTTGTTGTTGTTGTTTGGTTTTTTTTGTAAGGTCAAGGCCTAAACCGAAACCAGTATTAGGTCATTTGGAGTTTGTTGCTGTTGTGATAGAGTTTTTATAGTTTGGGGGTGGGGGGGTGGGGTGGGTGTTGGGTGTTTGTGGTTTTGTTTTTTTTGGGGTTTTTTTGGGGGGTTTTTTTGGTTTTTTTTTCATTCTGGTGTGTGGATTTCATTTTTACTTTTTCACTGAACTGAAAAGTTTTATTATTTGCAATTTATGTGCATGTATTTTCTTTCACAATTTAAACTTTATATATTGACACCAGGGAGTCGCTGCCTTCTGTAAATGTTTGCAGATTAGCATATTTTCAGAGGGAGCCCGTACAACTTCAGCTGAAGTGTGGCAGCAATCAGAGCAAGCAGCCACCAGCGTGTTGAACTTAGTTGGTCCTTATGTGTTTGGTGAATGTTTTTCAAACACAGCTGTGCCACGGGTGTTCTCAGTGTATCTTTCAAGAAACAGTATTTTTATTTTCAACTTAAAAAAACCAAGACAACAACAACAACAACAAAACCTGGACACATACACTGTTGTGTTTTGCCATTACCACAGCTAAACGTAGGTGTAGAGGGAGTCATTACCTTTCTTCCCCTTATTTAGGTATTTATTTATTTATTTTTACTCCCCTTTTAATTTTTTTCCTTTTTCTGTTGCTGCTTTGAGCCGGTGATTAAAATAAAACAGATTTCGTGGCGGCAGTGCCGGAAGGCGATGGGAGCGCTGCCGGGGCCGTGTGGGACGGGAATGTCACTGCCCGGGCACGGCGGGGACACATTCCCCGGCCCGGTGACCGTGTGCGGGGCGGAACATGGCTCCAAGCGTGCTTGGCCACTTCCCTTCCATCCCGAAAATCCCAGCGTGAGCCCAGAAATGGCCCGTGGGAGGCCGGGGTAGCGGGTGGCCGTGTCCCCTGGGAGCAGGTGCCAGCCGCCATCCCGGGGCAGATTGGCCCCCTCACGCCCTGGCATGGAGGGGTGGGGGCTTTCCTGCCTCCCGAGCTCGGCTTGCCGCCAGCGGGAGCGGGAGGGATGAGGGGCGGCAGCTCCAGCGCCGCTCCGGCTTGTCCCGGCTGCCGGGCTGTTCCCGGCGGGCCGCGGCAGGAGCAGCCCCGGTGCCGGGGACTGAGGGCCCGGGCCGCGGCAGGAGCAGCCCCGGTGCCGGGGACTGAGGGCCCGGGCCGCGGCAGG